CCCCCACCGCCAGCATATAGAGCAGTGTGTCCTTTTCCCCCGAAAGTCCAGGGGATCCCCGCTCATGCGTCAGTTTTGTCCCTCCAGGCGACAAGTAATTTTACTTGGCAAAATAAATTGCACAAAGTCCTTCTTTTCGTTTTCTTTTTTCTGCGATTTGTCGTGTTATCTTTTTGCTGTCTGCTCTGACTTGTGATAGCCATGTGTGTGTGTGTGTGTCCCAGTGTGTGTCCTCTTGGAGGTCTTCTCTTTGTACTGATTGGCCATCATTTAATTTTTATTTCTTTACATTTATTACATATATTTTGTATTGGTAATGCGGTGAATAGAGAAAAAAGCTATGAAAAATAATATTTTGGGTTCTATTTATTAAATATTAGTCTTTTTTTGTAGAGAAATATTTTAAAAATATAATAACTGTAAGTAAACAGATATTTACCCAAAATAAAAATATCTGTGGTAATATAATATCACAATCTTCCCCCAATTACTTTTAATACATTTATTTTTTATACAAAAAAAGTTAAATATAATTAACCTTTGTGCTGCTATAATAAGCTCAATTACATATATTTTTGTATAATTATGAAAATATCCCACGATGAGCAATGTTTTTACTGAATTTGATTGGCATAATGCCGTAAATTATAATTCGATATTACAGCTGGATGAGGTGCATATAATATCATTTTAATTTGTTTTCCTTTTTTCCAAAGTGCTGCTTTGCATTTCAAATGAGTTGAGGCGACAGGAGGAGAGCCAACAAAGCCCTGAGCTTATTTTCCGAGCCATCAACTGGTCTCCAAGCTGCGTGCACCGACTGACAAAACAAATAAACTTGCTGCCGCTTCATATGGCACTGTGGAGGGGTGGGGTGTTGGGGGTTCTTAGGGGGCTGAGGGGCTAGTACACTGGGGTCGTCACACACATTTGGTATGCATAAGCAGCAGTCGCATACCTTGAGCGCACATTATCCGGCAAGGAGACATTTTTCCATATTTTACACAACAAAAGCAATGCCAGACGCAACTTTTACCTCAACTTGCTGTGACATTTTCCTTTTTCTACTCTCTCTCTCTGTCTCTCTTACTGTTTTTACCCAGTAGTGGCCTCTCTTTCCTCTAACAACCGACCGCAATTTCAAATTTAATTCGCCATTTTCAGCAGAATGCCAAGGAACCACCCCCAAAGCACACCCCCAACTCACCCAGTCGCCCACTCAACGCCATCTTGTGGTTTTTCTTTGCCGTGTTTGTTGCCGGTTTCCTTTGGCTTTTTATTACGTATACGGAAAATGTGGAATTCCTGAAGACATTTTACTTTGCAATTTCCTTACGAGTCGTTAAACATTTCCAGGCTCTGCCTGAGCGCCACAACAACGGGCAAAGTTAACAAAACTAATTTAAAAATTCAAATTTGCTTTCCGCTTTTTATATGCATCACAAACTGTGCATTTATATGGCTGGGTGGGTAACTGAGGGAGTGCAGAGCTGGTGTATATACATACATATATATATATAGAGCATATATATAGCCATATTTGTCCAGGATGTGCGGTTTGCTGTCTGGCATTTTGTGGCCTGGTAATTTGTATTCTTGTGGCTTTATTGTTGATCTTCTTGTTACATTTGAGTTTTTTTCTTTCGGTTCTGCTTGATATTTGAGGATTTTTTGTGTATAATTTATTTCCTTGCCGGTGGTCGTTTTGAATTGAATTTGCGATTGTAGGGGCTGGGAAATGATAATGGAAATTCGTGCTCGGCAAACTTAATTACGCCTGAAATTTATGCAAACATTTGGCGAATGTCAAACTTTGAACAACTAAAACATGTGATCCTCATTGGAATAATGCAAATTCGAGCTCATTAATATCAATCAAATGATTGATAGCACTTAGAGTCGACCGGAATTGCCGCACCCTCGTCCTTGTGCCATCCCATCCCTCGGGCTGCTAATAAATCCTTTGACAATTGTTACATTAATGTCAATAAGCTGCACGCATAGCAATTTCGGGCATTTACATTTCGGGACTACCGACCCCTTTTCTGTCACAATATTTGCTCGACTCGTGCCACCACTCACTAGCCCCCGATAAGGATCTACATCTGGATCTGGATCCTGGTCCTGTTCTTTCTGTACCGAAGCTGGGAGCAATCTGTCAAAGTTTTAGCTACATTTGGACTGTCTCATCAATCAATTTCATTTAGCCAATTGTCACTCAGCCCGTTTTATTTGGCTTTGGCAAGTTTTCCGGTTGAGACTCGTGCCAAAACTCTCTCCCAACGCTAATGCAAATCGAATTTAAATTGCGTTTAAATCTTAATGCATTATGCGACGGTCACCGATGTAATTGTAATTCGAACACATTGTCGACACTATATTAGCCCCGCGGTAAATTTGCAACAAATTAGAGGCCAATTAACCCATCAGACGGACTAACGAGCCGCATATGTATACACATATATGTATGTATATTCATGTGCACACGCAATCGCAATTATCAAATTAAAGCGGGGCGGGGCCGTGGGCGGAGTGGTCAAACAATTCGAGAAACAAATAATAAATTCGACTTGCAAATGCAAAACACATGCATAATTATCCCTGTACGAGTGGCGCAATATAATTAAGCTGTTGACCCGGCCCGAGTTGACCCGAGTTGCATCTGATGAACTGACAACTGGCAGGCGCGTAGGCCTCATATTAATTAATATGTTTGCGAAGCAAGATGCAACCGACTTGTGGCAATGATCACAGAGAAAAATATTTGTATTCAATGGAATTAAATTAATTTTATTTACTAAAAAAAAGTTATTCATTCAAAGAGAAAGAGGAGTTAGGAAGATATAATTGTCTTAAAGCAGTCTTAAAATTCTATAACTTCCTTATAAATATTCCACAATATTTTGAACAGTGCATGGGTGTGTCTGCCACATTTCCATCTCTCGCCCTAGCTATTCCCAATTCCCTCTTGATTGTTCAGTCCTCGAAATGCATTTAATTTTCCACTGATATGGATCCTCCCCTCCTCCTTCTAATGCCCATCCTCGTTCTCGTCGTGGCTTATTAAACACACCCCTGGCTTTAGCCAGAGTTTTTACCTGAGCCGGCACGCGCCGTTGAAAATTTTTGGAAAATATTTTCAACATACCTCTCTCTGCGGTTTTCCGGACGTTTTTATAGTCGCCAGCCCAAATTGCTCTAATTCGTTAAGTTATAAAACTGGCCGCCAAGTTTTTCAAAGTCGTTTACTTTTATTGCCCCGACGTTGGCGGTCAATGAACCAGGAGTTCGCTGGCAGGACTCGAAAAGGACGACACATGCGTGCTAATCTCTAATTTGCTAGACGATCACGGAGAGTGTATATGGCCCATGCGTAGTCCTCCAGTCCTCCAGAGTCAGCGGGGAGTTGATAGGAGCTTGTTCCATTCGTATCCTTTTAATTGCCAAAACCCGCCGTGTTTCGAATTTCGGTATCTAAAGTTGTTTTTCCCATTTTAATGGCGCTATTTTCATTAGGCAAATGTATGTTGCCTTTCGCCTTTTCCCTTTTTTTTTTATTTTATTTCCCCAAAAATTTCGACAGTTTCATTTTTGTGAGCCGCTGCTCATTAGCATATAAAATGTATGCGGCACAAGGAATTGTCCTTTATTTTTGGGAGGCAGTGGTTGTGTGCGAGTGTGTGTTTGCATACACAATCCACGTTTATTGCATATTCATCATTTTAATTGCTTGTTTTCATACTAAATGACTCGATAAGGCTTTTAGGGTTATTAGGCGGCCATCTCCTGCGGCCGCGACTCTGCGTCCAGGTGGGCTCCAGGCTCTGACCTCTAGGTATCTGCTATAAATACTGTAAAATCCAAAGTCAGGGAAATGAAATGGAATACCGGCAGACGTAGAAAAGAACGAGCAAGTGGGGGGGAAAGGACTGGGGCCCCGGATATGATTACTTTTTCTTTTGTTTCGCTCTGCGGACCTGGAACTGGGGAAATCAAGAAAGCATGGCGGAAAGAACAAAGAAATTACTTTGCCAACGAGTGAACGGATATGAATAAAAAAGTGATCAATGCAATGAAAATGATTGTCTGCTCATTGTAGCGCTCCCTTCACAATTGAGCGCACAAAGTGCGAGAAAAGATGAAAGTTTGACGACGAGAGGTAACAGCAACACTTTAATAAAAGGGAAAAGCAAATAATTTCTAAAAAACAATGAATCCTTGTTGGCAATGAATCCCCCCGGCTGAAATATGGAAAAACAGGGGTTGAGCCCTAAAAAACTTGAGTTAACAACATTGATCCCACCTGGTTTTCGGGCTCAGTTCTTGAACAACCGCCACAGGAACAGGGAGAACGTCGAGGACGTCCTCCACAGCCGCAGTTCTTGACACAGCCACAGGATCCCTCGGGCTTGCCACAGGCGGAGCACTCGGACTTGCTACACCCGCTCTTGACCGGTTCTGGTTCCTGGACAGAACAACTCTGGACCAGGCAAATGGCGATGGCCACCAGGACGAACACTTTGATATGGAACATATTTGGCGACTGTATTTCAATGGGATTATGTTGGCTTTGGCATTGATCAGTGGTTTTTTATAGGTAATACTGAGAGGCAAAGTTTTATTTGAGCAGTTGCTGCTTATGGGTTATTTTTACTGATTAATTTATTAAGTAAATATTTTGGGTCAACAACATATGCAATACCATTTGAGTTTGTATTTAAAAGTAATTCAAGGTGAATGATATTTACAACTTCATTTTTTAAAACTACAAAAATGATAGATTTAAATATGTTTTTTTATGTACTTAGCCATGTTTTGCTAGAGTTGCTTTCAGAGAAATCCAAGTTAAGCATTATAATAACCATTTAATATCTTTACTTTTTATTTTATTTATAACAATTATGATACAAAATAACAAATCTTTAACACATAAACCATTTCGTCAATAAAATTTATATTAATAAAAATGCCAGAATATGAATTTTAGAAAAATTTCCGTTTCACTTTGAAAAGGGCCAGCAATACGAATAACTCAAGAAGGCTATAAATATATAAATTATATCAGTATAACTCATGAATTTTCCTAAAATATATATCTTACGCTTTCTGTTTTCAGCTGAGAATTTGAGCAGGTGACACAGGCTGTTGAATCGCTCGGTGGAGATAGATCCTGGCTTTCGATTGCAGCCACAGGCAGCTGGTATGGGGAATAGAGCTTCGACGGGGAATCCCGCAGAACACTCGAGGGGAATGAAGTTCTTGCAAAGCTCTTCGGTAACGGGTACAAAAGCTGTTAAATTATTTTATAACATTTTAATATTCATTTAATAAATTAAAGTGCGACTTTGACTTACGGGTGTTACCATCCTTTATTCTCTCAGTGTTGTCGTTTTTCATGAAGTATTCGTTTTGGAATGGTCGGCAGAGACAATCCTGGAGTGCCCACTGGTAGTTTCTATAATATGGATTGGAATCGTCTTCGCATTTAGTTGGAGTTATGGTCTGTAGTACAGGTTCCTCTTCAGGTTCCTCTACTTCTTCAGGCTTCTCTTCAGGTTCCTCTACTACTTCAGGCTTTTCTTCAGGTTCCTCTTCAGGTTCTTCTACTTCTTCAGGCTTCTCTTCAGGTTCCTCTACTTCTTCAGGCTTCTCTTCATCTTCAGGCTCCTCATCATCTTCAGGCTCCTCTTCATCATCAGGATCTTCTTCATCCTCAGGTTCCCCTTTAGGTTCCTCTACTTCTTCAGGCATCTCATCAGGTTCCTCTTCAGGTTCCTTTACTTCTTCAGGCTTCTCTTCATCATCAGGGTCTTCTTCATCTTCAGGCTCCTCTTCATCATCAGGATCTTCTTCATTTTCAGGTTCCTCTTTAGGTTCCTCTACTTCTTCAGGCATCTCTTCAGGTTCCTCTTCAGGTTCCTCTACTTCTTCAGGCATCTCTTCAGGTTCCTCTTCAGGTTCCTCTACTTCTTCAGGCTTCTTTTCATCTTCAGGCTCCTCATCATCTTCAGGCTTCTCTTCATCATCAGGGTCTTTTTCACATTCAGGTTCCTCTTCATCTTCGGGGACCTCTTCATCCTCAGGTTCCTCTGGATTTTCAGTTTCCTCCTCATTTTCACATTCTGGTTCTGGTTCGGGTTTGGGTGCTATCAATTTATTGGCAGAAGAAATTCTAACAACACCCAAAACCAAAATTAGCAACTTAAAGCTGATCATATTTTTCAAAATATCAAAAACTGAGTCTTTAAGTGGTTACGATTGAAACTGTTCCAAAATATTCTCATGATTGCCTTTTTATATCAGCTTCGTTGACTTGGTGTATAGAAGCCCATATATTTATATCCCAAAATGTTTGCAGAACGTGCGCATTAAGCTGCACGCGAATATATGTTTACATGTTTACCTAACCTTGGCTGACCGAAAATGGCAAATAACTCCAAAGCTTTTACTTTTGGTTTCCCCTAAAAACAGGCTTTTTAAAACTAAAATATATTTTTAAAATAAAATGCTTTAAAAAGTCAAGTTTTAGGCATTGTTGAGACAGCCTTTAAGAATATATGTAGAACACTTCTACAGTGTTTATATTTATTTATATTTAAGAATTGTAAAATAAGCGAAGGTGTCTCTGGATTTCAGCACTTGCAGTAGATTTTTTTGGAAGATCTTAGCACTTAGACACGCTGATGTAGGCTATAATATAAAGGTAATAATTAGTTTATATTTTCTGTTAAGTATTATGTAAACTTTCTTACGTTTCGAACACTCCATTGAGTATTTGTTTAGTAGACACAAACTCTTAAATTTCTTGATCTCGAGGCTTCCTGGCTTGCCATTGCAGCCGCAGGGTGAGGGAATAGGGAAGTAGGCCACCACAGGCCATCCGGGGAGGCACTTTTTCTGTTTGAACTTCTTGCAAACCTCCTCAGAAACGGGAACAAGAGCTAAAAGAGAAATTGAGTTTTAAAGGATATTTGGCAAAGTCTTATTGATCTGAATCTTACGAGTCTGGCCAGCCTTCTCCCGTTCAGCGCTCCTCTCTGCCATTAAACATTCGTTCTGAAAGCATCGGCAGACGCAATCCTCGAGAGCCCAGCTAAGATTCCGCAGGTAGATCTTACAATTGGTGGACGTCTCCACCGGTTTCTGAGGCACTGGCTGTATGATAAATGTGGCTCGAGCCACGCCCACAAGGACTGCTGCCACAAGAAGGAGCTTTAGACTGAACATCTCTAAAAGGATATGGGTCAGAGTATGGGAATACAGCCACTGCTTGGAGCTTAGGCTGCTGTGCTCAGCTTTTATAGGTCTCTGGGAGCACCATTGTTTGCTCAGATGAACTTATCGATAATAAATAAACCCAATATAATTGCTGTTAAAATGTTTGCTTAATCCATAGGAAAATTCTGTTCAACTTACTATATTTAGCTGTGCAGCAGCTTTCAAAAATGATTCACGGGAATAGGTCAGAACCCCTACCCCAGGGGCAACCAGTTTAACAGGCTCTCAAAAACCCTGAAAAGGCTCATAAAATATAGCCAAAAAAAAGGCGAAAAGCCACATAAAATGCTACGTGTTTACCTTTCCGGTTTTCCGGTGTTGGTGAAAATAATTACACGCAGTTGTCATTAGCTCATTAGAAGGAGAGAGTTGGGAAGGCGGGAAAAGCAGATAAAACAAAAGGCAAACAACAACTCAATTAACCCTTTTCCGCCAAACCCCAAATGGCTGGATTATGATTATGATGCTGCTCCTGCTGCTAAGTGTATGATAATATAATAAAATAATAAACGGAAAGTGTCATAAGAGACAGAGGCGGCCGAGGGGATGGAGAGCCGGTGAGAGGGGCAAATCCTGACGGATTTCATATGTAATTACTTCAATTAAACCATCTGTGACAATTGCCGCAGCCGAACATGAAATTCAACTTTACTTTCGAAATTCCCAATTGAGTTGAGGCGCATTATCCTGGCAAGCAACCGCATTTATCTCCCGCCATCTCTCTCTCTGCCCTCTCAGCCACTCGTTTGCCAGGACAACCAGGAGCAACCCTCAGGGAGGCCGCGCATTTTTACCTTTGACTTACCTTGCCTTGGCTGCTCCCCGCTTTTAATGGGGTGACATTTATGGCACTTTATCAACTCGAAAGTCAATAATGCCAGCCAAGTATCTTAAATGTGACTTAAAACGCACACAAACACACACAGACATGGCGGTGGAAAAGCGGGGAAAAGAAAATCGCAATGCGATAAAAATAAAATTTTAAAATTTATGCCACTTATTGTCAATTCCCGGCAACTGTAACTCAAGACTTTGGGGGAAAGCTAATGCTTTTCATCTTTGTTAAAAAAAAAGACTACAATCGAGAGTGGGGAAAAGTGAAAGAGATTAACAGTTGTGTTTGAAATAGTAGTACTTTGAGGAGAAAGAATTATAAATAAATAAAAGTGAATTTTTAAAAACATCTTCCTAGCTTTTTAAACAATTTCTTACATTGTATAGACTTCTTAGGCTTTAATGTAAACATTCTTAATTAATAATACATTTTAAGAAATATGTATCTTATTTTGCCAAGTCAATTTGCAATGATCCTTATCCTTATTCACTAAATTAAATTTATTTTATATTAAAGTTATATATTTATTTTTAAATTTTTCATAGTTATTATTGCACCCTCGTCTGTATCCCTTTAGAAAAGACCTGATGAAAGTCCCCAAGTTTGTTATGACAACTGAGAGACATTTGAATCGCAAACTCTTGGAGAGGGGGGCAACGCTGGCAGGGCATTAGTCGAATGGATCCCCCAGGATTAGCCAATGAGAGTGGATTTTCCCGACCCAGAGTCAAGGAGCCAGCCGCTTTTCCCCATCTTCTTAAGCTTCCGTCTGCTGACAGCTTGTGGCCCAGGGAATTTCCGCGCTGAGAAAACTTTTGCGTAATTAGGAGTATAATTTGCGAGGCAAGGCAGCCGCTTTTTGCCGCTGACAACTTGATTACGTTTCAACAACATTGTAAAAGTTAATTGCCAGCGCAGCCTTAAAGCCTGATGAGCATTTATCACCCTCTTCGCCGCGAAGGCGACACACTCCTCGCGTGTTTATGCAAAAACCAGGCGAACCGCGTAGGACATGAAAAAAGTGAGGCATTCATTAGGCCCGACACGGCGGCCCTCGGTGTTGGTGGTGGTGGTGGTGCGAGGAAGCGAGCGTCTTGTTACCACATTTTTCAATTATAGCACATTTCCCCTTTTGGCCAGTTGGCGTGTGAGGGAAGGTGAGGGTAGGTCCCCCTACCTGATGAAGAGTTATTGCATTTTAATTTGCCAGCGGATGCGAAATGTGCCAAAAACAAAATACACAATGCCACATTGTTTGTTGTAATGCGCAGGTGGTTCGGCGGCAATCTCTTAGCCGCATTTCTTATCGCGGCATTGCGAGAAATTACAAAGCGACGAATTCCTGGCCTAATGAAGCCAGCGGTTCAGAGGTCACAGCCGATGCAGCTAATTAGCTGCCGCTTCATTAAAATAAGTGCCCAACTAAATAAATACAACAGCGACTAAAGGACACTGAGAGAAATGTTTGTTTTGTGTAAGTTTAGTAAATAATTTATAGAATATTTTGCATAATGTCTTTTTCTTTGTACTCTTTAAATTTAATATTTGTATGAAGCTTAAGAGGAAGCTTAACACAATTTTTTTAGACATATATTTTTTATACACTTTTTATTTTTGTGGTAATAAATACTACAATTTGAATTTAAACAATAAATTAAGCTAGTCAGTAAATTCTTTTCTTTCTGTGCACTGCAGATGAACTTCCCGGAAAGGTCATTTAGTTTGGCCAACAAAAATGTATTGTTAAAAGCCGCTAATGAATTATTTACTACCCATTTGGCCGTCCTCTATGTTGAGGTCCTGACAGGTCAGTGGAAGAATGGTGGGGGTTTCGGGAGTCCACGCATAACTCAACCAGTTCACACCCTTAATTAACTGCCCTTGAGTGTGCGTGCTGCTGGCCAAGTCGACTTTTGGCCGAAAGTTGCGTGCGGCTTTGCGGCGGAAGGAATTACCTAAACGGAGTTATGTTTATTAAGCATTTAAAAAAGGAAGCGTGACTGGGTAGAAACCGAGAAATATCAGCACATTTCAATTAATATTTCGTTAAAGTCCCACCGCAAATCAGTCGCAAAGTGAACGATTGTATTCAGTCGCATCCATCAATCAAGTGCATATGAATAACATTTTTAATCACTCCGAATTACGCAGGAGAGCGCACATGATGAATTGCTTATACCGGGCAAAAAGGATATCAACATCCGCATTCGGGGCATAAGGGTAGGAGTACCATATATGGGTATCTGTTGTGGGAGTACAAGCGCATTCACTTGACAATCACTTTTGTTTTATTGCGATTTGCCAGCCCAGACACCAACAACAACGGCGGGACGAACTGAGCCATTTCCACTTGGGATAACTTGTGAGCAATTGCAATTGCTGCTGGAGCTAAGGCTATAGCTGCGCACGGATGTGGTCAGGGAAATAGTACTATATGTAACCAGAGTCCTAAGATCCTTTTGGGTATTTAGGTTGACTTTAATCCATACTAAACGCTCATAACTTAGGTGTTCGTTGCATTTTACCATACCATATATTTGTATATTGTAACTACTTCATACTATAATCCTCTTGTAAGGACATTCGCTGCTATTAACCTAACCCTTGCTGTATATTTGCTGCCATAGAGCCCGAAGACAATGAGCTGTGCCAACCAAATTGTTGTGGTGCAAAAATGCGGGCATATGTGCCAGGCAGAGGCAATCGACGCCAGAATGTCAGAAAGGAGCAACTGCAATTGCAGCAGCAGCAACAACAGAACGATTTACCAAGAAAATGAAAATTTATTGTCAGTAAATGAAAGAAAGCTTCTACCCTTAGTCCTCTCCTCGCTTCAGTTGAGCTCAGTTGGTAGTGTTAGTTAGCAATCAAGGTGCTGCTTTGTCGGCCAAAGGGAACTATTCGCATTGCGGCTGTCTTACTGGGAAGCCAAGCAAAGAGTGCAACAATTGCAGTTGTCATCGCCCCGGTTGCCATTGTCCTTCGGATAGGCTTAGCTAGAAACCTCAACAGGGTTCCTAACCGAACTCCACTTGAAACAAAGAAAAGAAACCTGATTTTTGAAGGTTGATAGTTACACTTGATGTTGTCTGGGATAAGTCTTTATCTTTGTGGAGACATTGCTGGAGAATTCGGCTCGAAGGACCAAAATAATGTCGGAAATTATTTGCCATGCAAACTAATTCAGCATATGGCTCTGGCCCAGTTTGCCTTGGCTAATGGAGATGTTGGCCTGAAATGATAATGGCCAAAACATTTAATGCACGTTATTGCCAAACCAAAAAAGCAATTTGACGCAACGCGCTGCTAGGATTTGGCCAAGGGTTCCGGAGCTGGCTAATGCAGTGAAATATTTATTGAAATTGTGTGCTCCCTGGGGGCCAATGCGGCCTTGTCTGCTATTAGGCTGGGATTGGGAACGAGGGGTGGCTGCCGAATGGCCTTTATCCGAAAACTTGGGGTGGGGCAAGGGGGAATCGGATACACTGTGATGGAGGTTATCTTGGCCGAGGGGCTGAGGCTGGGACTTGAGGGAGTGGCTATTTACGAGTCTCTGCTTGGCACTTTCGGCATTATTGCCGGGCCAAATGTTTTCGTCCGATGCATAAATATCCCAGATCCCAGGATCCGAGGAGAGAGTAGGGCACAAAGTTTTCGCACGCCACTCGCGCTTCCTTATAAATTACGCACTAATGTAGTGCAATTAACCACTTCGAGAGCGAGCCGAAAAAGGTCTCAGTTATTCACCTGAAAGAGTCCGCGAACTCTTCAACTCACGAGCTCTCAAACACTCGAACAATGGAACTCTGGAACTCTCTCACGGTACATGCACTTGGAGAAATATATAGTAATTGAAGCCAGGTCGAAATAATAATAGCAATTATTTTGTATCAATGCAATTATTATTATTATCGGTTCTAGTTCAGATTTAAACATTTTCATATTCCATCTAAAATAAGAAGAAAAAAGAGTGCATCTTTTTTGAGATTCCCAGCACCCCCTTGGTTTCAGTGCAGTTTTTATTCCAAGTGTACTCGAACTGGAGTGGCACTTGAACTGGCGAAAAGCATATTTACCCTCTTGTTGCAGCCAAATCTGGGTAAATATTTGTGGC